CACTCATTCAAGTGGGATTGGACACAAAAAAATGGGTGCCCAGTTACTCTGTAGTAAAACCCCCTGACTGCTTCTTTATTTGTTGGATTTACTGGATTTCGTTTTAATGTAAATTTTAACTGAAGATGTTTCAAGATGTTTCCTGAGATGCTTGAAATGTTCCATGTAATTATTTCGTAAAATGCTTACTTCTTCCATTTCCGTTGATTCATGTTTCAGGATGTAAATATTCTGTAGTGTTCTAATTACTCCATCTTGCCAAATTTCTGCTATAGTGTTTTAATTGTTCCTCCCTCTTACCTGGCCCGGCATGGCCAGGTGGTTAGGGCACTCCAATCGCAATCTGAGGGTTCGAATCCTCGTCCCACCAAACATGCTTGCCCTTTCAGCCGTGGGGGCGTTATAATGTGACGGTCAATCCCACTATTCGTTGGTAAAAGAGTAGCCCAAGAGTTGGCGGTGGGTGGTGATGACTAGCTGTCTTCACTCTAATCTTATACTGCTAAATTAGGGACGGCTAGCGCAGATAGCCCTCGTGTAGCTTTGCGCGAAATTTAAAACAAACAAACCCTCTTACCACGTTTTTGAGATAGTGTTTTAATTGCTCCTTTCTTGCCAAAATCGGAGATTAAAATTTTATCAAAATAGAATGAAAGTCACTAAAAGAACCTGATAAAAGTATTGGAAACTTGTTTCTTAATCATATTTATATTTGAAACTGGTCTCAAAGAAGTCTTCTAAAAAAGCGCATTTTAGATCGTTTGAAGTTTGTGAGTCTAAATAAAAGAAAATAGATTTCAACACGTTTTGAATGTGTGAAATATTTATGTAGATTTGATTCTTATAAGCAGATATAATAAATCTTAAATATTTCTAGTAAGTTTGATGCACTAGATTGCCTTCATTGATGTTATTTTGAATTATCTTAGTTAGGGCCTATACCGTATTATATGTTAATACTAATAAGTTCAAATGTATAGAGATGGTTTACTTTTGTTGAGAATCACAAGCAAATGATACTTCATGTTAGATCTGAAATTCAGAATAAAAACAGAGGTTCAAATTTGCATTACATCCTATAAATGTAATTTTGATTTAAAATGTTGAGACCTGGAGCAACAATCATTCATTTTTAAGAACAACTTTGTTACAATCTATTCTGTAATTTCACTGTTATCTAACCGAAGGTTAACATAGGAAACCGCAATAAGTAAGATATTACTTAAATCAAATTGAACTGAAAGGTATTCTAGAAAAAAAACACACTTTTGAAAAGGAATGCATTCCTGTTTAGAGTAAATAGAAGGATTTGGGCATTTTCAATAAGTCAGTCCTTCAGTACCATACCCGTTTGAGAGACATCCTTGGTTAAAAATGCCCAAGAGATACCATGTTGTGTAAACCGAGTGTGCACCATGCTATTCTGCAATCCTCACCAGGGAGTAATGACATTCTTTACTACATTGAAAACTATGTCATGCCTGTTAGTTACATGAAGGATAATAAGGTTGTTTATCGACTCAAAATGTAAAGTTTTATTATTTTATGGAGTCCTAGAGAAACTAGTTTATTGCGCTAAAGTCGTAAACAGGATACGGATAGAAATGCTGTTTTAAATGTTAAAGGACGTATAATTATTTTAGCACAGTTCCATTTGGAAAACGATAGTTTATCATCACTTTGACTTAGCGCCAACTCAGAAGTGAAAACAATTAATTTCTAATCAAACAGTTCCAGCGAACGCTGTAGTTATTTTTTCTGAGAAGAATCTTAAGAATTACTTGTTAAACAACAAAAATTTTCCGCCAAGAACAAGCGCTGAGAAAATGTCATTCAAACAAAGAAGAAAGCATTTAAAGAGAACATTTAGAGGTCGTTCACAATTTTCGCCATTTTAAGAGCATACAAAACACGCGTGTTTTCGTGACCCCCCTCCCTCTCTAAAGTGTACACACACAAAAAAATGGAGATACTTTTTAAAAGATATATTATCAGACAATAGTCAATACAAATAGAATACAGGGAAATAGCAAAGAGAAATTTAAATTTACATAATTTTCGAAGTTGCTGTTGTAAATATTTTTACCACTTATGTATTGATAGCGAATGATGTCGGCTCGCCATTTAATAAAAGCGTACACGAGCTACTACATTGCGTACACGAGCTACTACACTCCTTGAGGAAAATTGTGAACAAGTTATTATGATTTTAACTATTATTGCATTAATTCAACCATACAGTACTAAGCTAGCCAAAAGAGAACATGCATTACCAAGACCAATACTTACTATTAATACGGAATATACGCAGCCTGCAGAAGAAGAGTGAAGTCCTAGCAAAATTATCAGGTGAACGTGTCGAAAACTTTACCTAACTGTTGACTGGGCACTGTACATGAAATTATAAGCCAGATATTTTGCACAGTGTGCACTAATTGAAAACTAACTATTACGCACAAAATCACGCTATAGATTCGTAGTCTGAAAAGAACAGTTCAGGCAGTTTACAGACAATCCACGCTGAACGACGAGGAAGCGGAAGGAATTTGTTTTAGAGCTATAATCAATGCAGAGGAGGGTATTGTTTAAATAGTGTTCGAAGTCTAAGAAATAAAAGACTTTTGGAAGCAAAAACCGAAGGATACTGTTACACGTGCCTACAACCTACATCAGGAGACTAAGGAGAATGTAACTCTTTTAAAACTGTTGACACAACATAAAGAATCAAAACATAGCAAGACTGTTTTAAATAATGTTGTCAGTGCATAAGATAACTTAGAGGCAGACGGTCGTTGTGTTTAAATCTTCCAGAGAAGGCAGAGCCTCGAAGCGCACTCGACTTTAGCGAAATTCTTCCGGTTCTTTAGAAATGTAACACGGATAGTTGAAAGAACTAGATAGGCAAGTACGAGATACTCCTGTTTCAAAGTGGACATCAGCTCCAAACACTCCTATCTCTACACTGTATTACACGCTCTATTACTTGTTCTCAATTCCGTGTTTGCTGTTGCGATTATTTCTACAGCTCCATCCACTGAGCCTGCACCCTTTTGAACATTTACACTTGATGACTTTGCGCATGCGTAACTCGTCGTGGCTCTAGTTTTCCGTCTCGAACAGCATCCGCAACATCCAACTCATCGATCTATATGTGCACTTACTATGTTGCTAAGCGATCCACTTCGCTTCCTTTATCCCATTCGTCGGAACGTTTACGTATCGAGCGATGAAGGAAGATCTCTGCTTCTATATTTCTCGATCCTCAGCTTCATCGGAACGCCTTCTATCCTCAAAGTTATAGACGCCAGTCGGACAAGAAGAGAGTGCGTTTGATGAAAAAAAAAATTGAAATAGAAACACGAAACCATAAATTTCAGCACCCGTTCACACGTTTCTTTCTTTCAAAGTGCATTTTGTCTAGAGATCAGTGAATTTGAGTTTATTGATTTAGATATTATTCTGTTGTTTTTTTTTCAGCCGAAAATCGAGAAGAGGATGATGACAATTTCTGTTTGTTCTTCAAGAGGACAAATTAAACTGCTTGCTTAAGTACAATAAAATGAAATAAAAACCTTTATGAACATTGTTTAGATTTTTTTATAATATGTAAAGAAGAAATATGATAAGTAAAACTTGTAAGAACAAATATATTATCAAAAATTCAGGAGAAACCTACAGTGTAAGATATGCTGTGGGAATCTAAATTCTTACGGTGTAAGATACACTGTTGGAATCTAAGTTCGTACAGTGTAAGATACACTATGGGAATCAAAATTTTTACAGCGTAAAATACACTTTTACAGTCCAAAGACTGACAATATAACATAATCTATTATGATATCAAAATTTACAAAATGATTTATAAATTGTTACGATCCAAAGAATAACATTATAACATATGCTATTAAGATCCACAGACTGACGTAATATAAAGATCCAATATTTACCACATAAATTATACTATTATAATCCAAGGGTTAACAACACGACGTAGATCATTAAAATAAAAAATCTGATACAATATACATACTATTCAGATTCAAATATATAAAACATAAATATTTACATTCCACATTTGTAAATGATTGTCTGTTTGTTTGTTTTTAACTATGTACAAAGCTACACAAGGGCTATCTGTGCTCTGCCCACCACGGGTATCGAAACCCGGTTTCTAGCGTTGTAAGTCAACAGACATACCGCTGTGCCACTGGGGGGCCTTGTGAAGGAAATCGACATATTTTATTCGTAGCACAATGTTTAGACAATGCAAGCCTTTTGTTTACTGCGTTAATTTATTTACAATACATTGCGGGCCCGGCATGGCCATGTGGTTAAGGCGCTCGACTCGCAATCTGTGGGTCGCGGGTTCGAATCCCCGTCACATCAAACATTCTCGGCCTTTCAGCCGTGGGGGCGTTATAATGTGACGGTCAATCCCACTATTCGTTGGTAAAAGAGTAGCCCAAGAATTGGCGGTGGGTGATGATGACCAGCTGCCTTCTCTCTAGTCTTACACTGCTAAATTAGGGACGGCTAGCGCAGATAGCCCTCGTGTAGCTTTGCGCAAAATTCAAAATAAACAAACAATACATTGAACAGACTTTAATAAGTTTAGATTCTCGCAGTGTATCTTAAACTGTAATAGTTCAGATTCCCATAGCACATCTTCAACTGTAAATCTTTATGTGTTATAGTTTACTTTAGACGCAAATCTTCGGCTTTCTATAGTGTATCTTGCACTGTAAGAACTTAGATTCTCACAGTGCATCTTGTCCATCTTACATTTTAAAGTGCTTCGATTGTCTCTGACGATCTATGGTTTCGGCGACTTGCATAAAAACAAACATGTTTATATTGAAATGATCAAGAAGCACGTAGATCTATTACAGCTGAGCTGGCACTCTGTGGTGCCTATAAGTGAGCAAATTATATCTGAAACGTGATGGGCAGAGCACAGATTGCTTATTGTGTATCTTTGTGTTTAACTTCAAATAAGCAGAAAAATGCACTTCACAAAGTTTCCGCGGATATTAAAATCAAATTTAACGCGTTCAATTTATCATAAGAATTCTTCAGCTAAGACGAACTAAAATTATCAATTTCATTTATTTTACTCAGTAAACCAAACAGTGTCATTGAAGATATATCTATATATGTATTATATTAAACTCCCGCCCCTGGTGGCATCCAAAAGATAACTGGATAACGTATGTCCTTAAGGATAATTTGTATTATGAAAGTCGAAATGTGTTGACAATGGAGAAAAGAGCATCGTTTATAAAATACGTGAAAAGATCCTACTTCACTTAAAATAGTTAATAACACGCGATCATTCTATCGCCTATTTATTGAAACTATTGGCCCCCTAGTGGCACAGCGGTATGTCTGCGGACTTACAACTCTAGAATCCGGGTTTCGATACCCGTGGTGGGCAGAGCACAGATAGCCCTTTGTATAGCTTTGTGCTTAATTACAAATAATAATAATTGAAACTATTGAAAATATGTCCCCTGGTGGCCACGTCACTAAAAAATCCATGTGAATGGTGACAACAACACGTCCTGTGAACCAAACCTATTTGGAGTAAAATTCTACTTTTTTTTAATAGATGAAATGTGATCCTCCCTGCAACCAGATAATAGCGGTTAATTTATTTAGGGAGAAAAGAATATGAAGCCAGATATATCCCCATTCTTATAAAGGAATATGGCGTATATAGTATTATATAAGTATTTGCGAACGCGCTGGCCGCTAAAGCCGGCGGAATGTTTGTTATTAAGCACAAAGCTACACTGTGGTGTACCCACCATGAGTATCAAAACCCGGTTTTTATCGGTATGAGCTCTCAGACTTACCGCTGAGCCATTGGGGATGGGGGGGGGGGGCAAAAATGGCACCATTAATTCCACACAATTTAAAGACTGCATCCTACAACTGCTTGTGCTGACATATGCTAAGATAATTTTGGCCATATCTGTAGCATAATGAATGATAATGACAATTCCACCTGGCTAATTGGTCAACATATTCCTTGATGAAAGGGGGATTTAACGGAATGGAGTTTAATGCACACTCACTAGACTATCTGTCATGTATATGATGCTCTTGAGAGACCCATCGTAAGCAATCAAGTGATTTCGGACAAGAGATGGCTTCATTAAAACTCAATGTTGAAAAAATGCAACACTGATACCAGGCTGCCATTGTTATTCATAGTGACCACATAGACGTAGGCAAGAGAGGCTAAAACCCAGTAGCCCTCACCCTCTCCTAAATGTCAGAGAAGATACTTTTTTCCAGCTTTACTTTCTTGCTGTCCCCCTAGTGGGAAAGTAGTAAGTTTATGGCCTTACAGCACTTGATCCCCCCGCGGTGGACACAGAAAATAGCCAGCCCATTGTGACTTTGAGCTAAAACAAAGAAACAAAGCTCTCTTGCTTTAGACATTTTTATTGGCTCACAAAGTTTTCCTGGCTACGGTACTGAGAAACTACACTTGATACTGAAGTAAAATGTTAAGAATTATAAATGCTAATTAATGAACGTAGTGAATGAACAGTCATTTTTTTTATTTCATATCACATGACTGATTATCAAATGATAACAATGAACTGAGAGGAGTAGTTGACATTGTTTAATAATAGTAGTTTTTCCCTTGCCATAGCTAAAAATCTATACAATCCACACACACACACACATATATATATATATATTTGCAGTGTGGATACTTTTATGCTTGAACGTGTAGGTTATGTTCCATTCACCTGTTTGCATGAACTACAGGACTTGAGATGTTATTACGACTATGCTACATATAATTTCTCACACTAGTCTGATTCTTACTAGGGAATCATTAGTTTACTGATCTTTAGATCACATAATTCAACTTTAATTAAAGTAGAGTTCTATCAGACTTCCCAGTTTCTCTCTTTTTATAGTTTATAGTGATAGTATCTCCAAAAAGTAAATAAAAACAGAACTTAATCTTGTAAAATACTTATTTCTATATCTGATATTATGATGATTTTAGTATTTTCCTTCCAAAGGCTACATTGGTGCAACGTCAAAAGTAAAATATAATGCATAAATCATCTGAAACCAAGACTGTATTATGCTTATTTGTCGATAACGTCATATATTCTACAATATACATTCTATTACTTGTAATAATAGAAATAAATTTATAACTTTTTAGAAACCAGAGGGACGAGTTTCATCACCATTCAATACTTTTAACAGTTCGTGTATCAAAACTCTTTTATTTGTCTTATGATTTTTTATTTTGATCCTTAGAATACTTTCACGTGCATCAATTAAATTATCCTCACCTTTTGTACGAAAGAACTGACATCCTATGAATTGTCAGATAAAATCTAACTGTTATTAAAGCAGGAAACATTTTTAATATTTCATAACAAGATAAATATCTTCGATGTGTATTTAAGCTGAAATAACAATTTTATTAACAATTACAGAGCAGTTCTTTAATGTTTAAATTCAAATGAAAATAAAGCTTATCATGTGGGAAAGAGCTGATACAGGTATGTTATATTAAAACAATTTTGAATATGCAAATCAGCAAGTTACCTGACAAACACAACAGATATAAAAAAGCTGTGACACTAATGTGTCAGAACTGCATTGTTTGGTGTTTTGCAATTAGTGTGATGCTACCGAAAATATATTGCCTTTAGGAAGGTTATGTTACAGACGCTTTCGACGCCTAATATTTTTACACTCAGGTCATAAAGATGTCTTTCAGGTCGGGGGATCGGGGATTTAGAATGTCCAAGTTGGGGATATCACACGTATCTAATGTTTATGTATCAATTTGGGATACTTGGACCATCCAGAAAGAGATCTGGAAAATGCTTGGAAAAATATTATCTCTATAGGTGTGGGGGATAAGTTAGCAAATTGGATAGAAGAGTGACTAAATGGAAGAAAGCAGAGTGTTGTAAATGGAGTTCAGTCAAACTGGATTAATGTTTGTAGAACTAGGGGCATGTTCAGCCAAGACAGTTTTATTTTTCTAAAAGGGTAGTTGGCTTCTGGAATGGGTTGCCTTCGGATGTTG